TTGGGGGTAGGTGGGGGGGAAGTTTGGGGGTAGGGGGTAATAGGACGTTTGGGGGTAGGGGGTAGGGAAGTTTGGGGGTAGGGGGTAATAGGACGTTTGGGGGTAGGGGGTAATAGGACGTTTGGGGGTAGGGGGTAATAGGACGTTTGGGGGTAGGGGGTAGGGAAGTTTGGGGATAGGGGGGGGGGGGGGTATTGAGAGGATAGGGTGAGGATAGGTGAGGATAGGGTGAGGATAGGGTGAGGATAGGGTGAGGATAGGGTGAGGATAGGGTGAGGATAGGTGAGGATAGGGTGAGGATAGGGTGAGGATAGGGTGAGGATAGGGTGAGGATAGGGTGAGGATAGGGTGAGGATAGGTGAGGATAGGGTGAGGATAGGTGAGGATAGGGTGAGGATAGGGTGAGGATAGGTGAGGATAGGGTGAGGATAGGTGAGGATAGGGTGAGGATAGGTGAGGATAGGGTGAGGATAGGGTGAGGATAGGGTGAGGATAGGGTGAGGATAGGGTGAGGATAGGGTGAGGATAGGGTGAGGATAGGTGAGGATAGGGTGAGGATAGGGTGAGGATAGGGTGAGGATAGGGTGAGGATAGGGTGAGGATAGGGTGAGGATAGGGTGAGGATAGGGTGAGGATAGGTGAGGATAGGGTGAGGATAGGGTGAGGATAGGTGAGGATAGGGTGAGGATAGGGTGAGGATAGGGTGAGGATAGGGTGAGGATAGGGTGAGGATAGGGTGAGGATAGGGTGAGGATAGGGTGAGGATAGGGTGAGGATAGGTGAGGATAGGGTGAGGATAGGTGAGGATAGGGTGAGGATAGGGTGAGGATAGGGTGAGGATAGGGTGAGGATAGGTGAGGATAGGGTGAGGATAGGGTGAGGATAGGGTGAGGATAGGTGAGGATAGGGTGAGGATAGGGTGAGGATAGGGTGAGGATAGGTGAGGATAGGGTGAGGATAGGGTGAGGATAGGTGAGGATAGGGTGAGGATAGGTGAGGATAGGGTGAGGATAGGGTGAGGATAGGTGAGGATAGGGTGAGGATAGGGTGAGGATAGGTGAGGATAGGGTGAGGATAGGTGAGGATAGGGTGAGGATAGGTGAGGATAGGGTGAGGATAGGGTGAGGATAGGGTGAGGATAGGGTGAGGATAGGGTGAGGATAGGGTGAGGATAGGTGAGGATAGGGTGAGGATAGGGTGAGGATAGGTGAGGATAGGGTGAGGATAGGGTGAGGATAGGGTGAGGATAGGTGAGGATAGGGTGAGGATAGGTGAGGATAGGGTGAGGATAGGGTGAGGATAGGTGAGGATAGGGTGAGGATAGGGTGAGGATAGGGTGAGGATAGGGTGAGGATAGGTGAGGATAGGGTGAGGATAGGGTGAGGATAGGGTGAGGATAGGGTGAGGATAGGGTGAGGATAGGGTGAGGATAGGGTGAGGATAGGGTGAGGATAGGGTGAGGATAGGGTGAGGATAGGTGAGGATAGGGTGAGGATAGGTGAGGATAGGGTGAGGATAGGGTGAGGATAGGGTGAGGATAGGGTGAGGATAGGGTGAGGATAGGGTGAGGATAGGTGAGGATAGGGTGAGGATAGGGTGAGGATAGGGTGAGGATAGGTGAGGATAGGGTGAGGATAGGGTGAGGATAGGTGAGGATAGGGTGAGGATAGGTGAGGATAGGGTGAGGATAGGGTGAGGATAGGGTGAGGATAGGGTGAGGATAGGTGAGGATAGGGTGAGGATAGGGTGAGGATAGGGTGAGGATAGGGTGAGGATAGGGTGAGGATAGGGTGAGGATAGGGTGAGGATAGGTGAGGATAGGGTGAGGATAGGTGAGGATAGGGTGAGGATAGGGTGAGGATAGGGTGAGGATAGGGTGAGGATAGGTGAGGATAGGGTGAGGATAGGTGAGGATAGGGTGAGGATAGGGTGAGGATAGGTGAGGATAGGGTGAGGATAGGGTGAGGATAGGGTGAGGATAGGTGAGGATAGGGTGAGGATAGGGTGAGGATAGGGTGAGGATAGGTGAGGATAGGGTGAGGATAGGGTGAGGATAGGGTGAGGATAGGGTGAGGATAGGGTGAGGATAGGGTGAGGATAGGTGAGGATAGGGTGAGGATAGGGTGAGGATAGGTGAGGATAGGGTGAGGATAGGTGAGGATAGGGTGAGGATAGGTGAGGATAGGGTGAGGATAGGTGAGGATAGGGTGAGGATAGGTGAGGATAGGGTGAGGATAGGGTGAGGATAGGGTGAGGATAGGGTGAGGATAGGGTGAGGATAGGGTGAGGATAGGGTGAGGATAGGGTGAGGATAGGGTGAGGATAGGGTGTGAGGCTAGGTGAGGATAGGGTGAGGATAGGGTGAGGATAGGGTGAGGATAGGGTGAGGATAGGGTGAGGATAGGGTGAGGATAGGGTGAGGATAGGGTGAGGATAGGGTGAGGATAGGGTGAGGATAGGGTGAGGATAGGGTGAGGATAGGGTGAGGATAGGGTAAAGATAGGGTGAGGATAGGGTAAGGATAAGGTAAGGATAGGGCGGGGATAGAGTGGTAATAGGGTGGAACAAGAATGGGGATAGTGGAGGATAATATAGGAATAAGAAAGAACTGGAGATAAACTAGGAGGGGAGGGAGCGAATCAAGGCAGGAATTGGGATAAAATAAAGAAAAAAACTGGGAAGGAAAGGGGGGAATGAATGGGAGGTGATTGAAAGGAGAGAAGAAAGTAAGAAGAGGGAAGGAGGACAGAGAAAATGCATAAGCGAAAGAGACAGAGAAAGAGAATACGAGATAGAAAGTGAAAAGAGAGAGAAACCACGAATGTGAAAACGTGAAAGAGAGAAAAAAAACATGAGTGAAAATATGAAAGAATGACACGCAAGAGAGAGTGGATCCACACGAGAGTGAAAACACAAGCCTCTGTCCAGCCAAATCCACAGCCTTCTACACCCACCCACTATCCACCTATCCCCTCCCCCTCCCCCCTCCCTCGTCCACCCATAGATTCTCATCACGTGACCTTGGCGTTGCGTCCCCTCCCACACTCCATCTCCTCTCTTCTTTTCCCTCTCCGTACCCCTCCCTCTTCCCACTCCCTCTCCCCTTCCCTCTTACTCCCTCTCCCTCCCCCTCCTACTCTCCCTTCCCTCTTCCTCCCTCTCCCTCCTCCTCCTCCTCCACCTCCACCTTCCCTCTCCCTCTCCTTCTCCCTCCACCTCCCCCTACCTCTCCCCCTCTCCCTTCCCTCCACCTCCCCCTCTCCCTCCCCCTCTCCCTTTCCTCCTCCTCCTCCCTTCCACTCCACCTCCCCCTTCCCCTCTTCCCCCCTCTACCTCTCCCTCCACCTCCACCTCTCCCTCTCCACCTCCACCTCTTCCTCTCTCTCTCTCTCCCTCCCCTTTCCCCCTCCCCCTCCCCCTCTCCCTCTCCCTTCCCTCTCCCTCTCCCTCTCTCCCTCCTTCGCCCTCGGTCCTCGCGCCTTTCCCACGCTCCGCCGCCACGCTCACGCTCGCTAACGCCCCGCCGACGCCGACCATCGCCCGTCGCTCCGAGAAGAGACAAGAGAGCAAGGGCGAGGGAATAAAGACGGGAAGAGAAGAAGGGATAGATAACGGTTATGATGGAAAGAGGACGAGGATGAAGGATAACGATGGAGGGAGAGAAGAGAGTGATAACAAGGGCGAGGAAATTAAGACGAAACGAGAAGGCAAGGTGAAAGGCCGAGGGAGGAGGATAACGATGGAGAGAAAGAGAATGGGAATAAGGACGGAATTAGAAGAAGGGCAAAGGATGCAGGGAAAGATAAAAATGGAAGGAAGCCGAAAGTGAAGGATAACGATGGTAGGGGAACTAAGGTAAGAATAAAGATGTAAAGAGCAAAGGTGAAGGATAACGGAGGGAGAATAAGGACAAGGAATAACGGTGAAATAGGGTAAAGAAATAAATATGGAGAGAAAACAAAGGTAAGGATAAAAATGGAAAGCGAGGGTGAAGGATAATGAAAATAAGGGTATGGGATAATTATTAAGAATGGAAGAGGAAGAAGAACAAAGAAATAAAAGTAGACACAGACCGCAAATAGAAGGAGAATAAAGCGAAAGTATACGGGGCGAGGATCATGACGGAAGAAGAGCAGGAGAAACACGAAAAAAGAAAGATAATAACGCCGGGCATGAAAAGGCGAAGGCGAAGGCGTGGATAATATATCATACTTATATCATGCTCTTCAAGAAAAACCGACGCCAGCCTAAGACGGACTTAGACGCGCCTCGATCTCGCGTAACAAAAGGAGGCATAAAGAAAGAAAAAGAAAGAAAGAAAAAAAACTCGTACTGCCCATTTCCGCACACGTACACTCGTGGAATGTCTACGCATAGGCTTATACATGGGAATACACAAAGATATACACTACAGACACAGAAACACACACAGGCATTGCTAGACAGACAAGCAGAGAGGCAGACGGACGAAGAGGCAGTAGGCAAGCTGGCAGACAGACAGGCAGACAGACAGACAGACAGGCAGACAGACAGACACAGACCGACAGACACACACACACACACACATACGGATCTCAAAAGATCCTTAGCCATAGACTCCGACCCTATGCTGGTGCAGACCGCCCACACTCCGCAAGGGACGCACATCCGACGCCCATTCACCTAGACACGCCCCAATCATATCAGTCATACCATGCGTGGGAAACTGCATGATTCTCTCTCTCTCTCTCTCTCTCTCTCTCTCTCTCTCTCTCTCTCTCTCTCTCTCTCTCTCTCTCTCTCTCTCTCTCTCTCTCCCCCTGACTCGAAAGTCTGTCTCTGACCTTCGTCATTCACACGGTCATTCGCACTCGCTTATTTATCACCTACTAAAATTTTCTTCGAAATGTGACTTTAAATCTGAGTTTTATTCGCCTATTTTTAAGACTGAGATCCCCGTGCAAATTCCTTGGGTGAATAAGAGAGAAAATATTTGAAGAGGAATGTCCCTAATTATTAAATCAATTTGAGTGATCAACTAATGGGCCCTAAAATAAGAGAATTGATCCTATAATTTGAAATATATACTAAAAATACAAAAAAATACGCTCTAGAAATAATAAAACAACAAAAAATATATCCTAAAAAAATGGCTACATTCCGAAGCCTTACCTGATGGAAACCGTCCCTCTCCTGCGCCAGCCTCCTGCAGTGCCTGACGAGGATGTTGAAGGACGCGGCGAGCTGGTCCTCGGGAACGGCCTCGATCGTGCTCCACTCCGAGGGCCACACCGCCTCAGGGTTGTCCGTCACCTGCGAAGAGAAAGGAGAGTCAGTGAGGTGACTTAAGGTGCCAAGGTGAGGGGGTCATAACAGTTGACTGGGGATGGGGGGGTGGGGGGTAAATGACTTAAGGTGACTTGGGTGACATGTGTTTGGTATTGATGAGGTGACTGAAGTGTCTGCGGTGACCGAGATGTTCTGGATGATTGAGGTGAATGGAAGCGCTAGGTTTGCAAGGTTTTAAGACGTACGTGACACTGTGAAGTATGTCAAAAGATATATATCCACACGTTGCGTCACGTCGGCTCAAACCCAAGAACCAAATTATAAACCGTGACGAAAATAAACTTTTAAGACTAACCCATAATCCAGTTAAGAAGAAAAAAAAAATCAACCACACGCTACACATTTTCCTTCTTCCACCCAACTTTCCCCGAACATGCAATCGAACATTAACACGACCCTCCATTATCGGCCTCCAACCCGGATCCGGTTAAATTCGTCACTGACAGAAGTTCTCACACGAGGCATGCACCGTGCTGATTCCCTCCCTCCCCCCCCTCTCATTCTCCTTCCCTCCTAACCAATTCCCCTCCATACTCCCCTCTTTTCTTCTTCCTCCCCCTTCCTTTTCACCTTCCGTCCCCTCCTCCACCTCCATTCACTCTACATGTCCCTTCTTCTCCTCCTCCTCCTCCACTCTTCTACCTCTCACTTCTCCACCTTCTCTCTCTCCTCTTCCCCTCTACATGTCCCCTTCCCTCTTCCACATACTTCTCCTCTTCACCCTTCCATCCCCCCCCCCTCCATCCACTTATCCTCTCCTCCTCTTCCTCTCCCGCAATTCCATCATCTCCCATCTTCCAGAGGCAGGAAATTCTTGGGAGTTTTTTTATTCTCCTTCAAATGAGCCAAAAATGCCGGGTGGGTTTCTTGCCGGGCCGTTGAGAAGTGGCCATTACTAGGGAACAAGGAACACACCATCTGTTCTGTTCTGTGTTCTCTGTAGAGTGTTCTCGGCTATGTGCTGCTCCCTCCTGCGTGCTCTCTTGTTGCCCGCTGCCTCGTGACGCGTGCACAACCCCCTCCCCTCCCCCCATTGCAAGTTAAAAAAAAGACGGGCAGGGAAAAGGCAATGGTAGATGGATACGTGGAATGGCGAGGAGGACAACGCAGAGGAAAGAGGAAATGTAAATTATAAGCCACAAAAAGGTTTCGGAGAATAGTTTCCCACGTTCGCAGATTATACAGAGCGCTCATAAATCTTGCCGATACATCGGGACACACACACACGCACCCACGTAAGTCTGAGTGCACACACACACACACACACACACACACACACACACACACACACACACACACACACACACACACACACACACACACACACACACACATACACACACACATATATTTGTGTGCGTGTGTAAGAAAGAAAGAAAGAAAGAAGAGAAAGAGAAAGAGAAAGAGAGAGAAAGAGAGAGAGAGAGAGAGAGAGAGAGAGTAAGAGAGAGAGTAAGAGAGAGAAAGAGTAAGAGAGAGAGTAAGAGAGAGAAAGAGAAAGAGAGAGAGAAAGAGAGAGAGAGAGAGAGAGAGAGAGAGAGAGAGAGAGAGAGAGAGAGAGAGAGAGAGAGAGAGAGAGAGAGAGAGAGAGAGAGAGAGAGAATTCTATCAATTAATTCCTTCAAAGTCCATGATCGCATGACGCTCTCGCTGTCAGGCCGGACGTCATGCACATGTACCTCTATGATATGTCACGTCGGCATTGACGAGAGAGAAGGAAAATCGGGCATATCTTTGGGGGGTGGGGGGGTGAAAGCTCCTTCTGGATGACACGAGACTGAAGTGAATTTCCTAACATTTTCTTTTTTATCATTAATATCAATGTTAACAGAGAGTTAATTATTTCTGCTTCGTTACTGTCATCTTGGCTTTTACTATTATAATTACTACTAAGAACGCGAAAATCTCCACGCCGTTGCATGACAAATACATTTTACACACACTCGTCATGCACAAAACCGCACAGACAGACAGACACACTAAAACACTTGGAAAGAAACCATACATATCCTAAACTACTACAAAAAATAAACATACAAGAAAATGAATTAATAAAACATGGAAATAAAAAAAAAAAAAAAAAAAAAAAAAAACAATGGGTAGAAAATACCTGCAAAGTTTTCCAATCCCGCTAACATATATCGAGCGAGCTAGGCGGGGAGACAAGCCGTAAAAAAAAAAAGTCTCACGCGAATATTGTAGAAAAGATAATAACCATAAGAGTCACTCCTTCACCCCCCCCTCCCCCCCCCCCCCGATTCTGCCAGCCCTCCCTCTCTTGCCTCACCCCCCTCCCCTTCCCCCTTTCCCTTCTAGCTCCCCTCCCCACTCCCCTGGCTCCTTCACTAGCCCCATTCCCCACTCCCTATGCCCCCCCCCCTCTTGCCCGATCTCCAGGAACCTCCCCTTCTTGCCCCAATCTCCTTGTCTAGTCTCACTTCTCCCCCCCCCCCAGTTTCCCATCCCCCACCCCCCACCCCTGCCCCCTTCAATTAACCTGCAGGGAGATCGAAAAAGTTTTTCAAGTTCACGCTGAACAGAAGTGCATAAGTGGCCTCTAAGTGGCACTCTAAGTTCACGTCTTGTCCAATTCCCTCGAGTAACTCAGTTCTGGAGTGTCTCTTGACCCGTGTCTCTCTCTCTCTCTCTCTCTCTCTCTCTCTCTCTCTCTCTCTCTCTCTCTCTCTCTCTCTCTCTCTGTGTGTGTGTGTGTGTGTGTGTGTGTGTGTGTGTGTGTGTGTGTGTGTGTGTGTGTGTGTGTGTGTGTGTGTGTGTGTGTTTACATGCGTAAAAGTGAACGAATGAATGAGAGAATAAGTAAGTAAGTAAGTGAGAGAGAATGTGAGGTATAGAGAGAGAGTAAGAGCGAGATACTCCCATCAGTTAAAGTAAACAACCGAAAAACGCCGCGGGAATTTAAGCAGAAAATTGCAATATTTACACGGCAAACTTGGAACAACATTTTCTCGTGCTTCAACGACCAAGGCAAGCAACAGCACCAAAAAAAGGTCTTTTACATTCCGGAATACTTTAGCATAGTGCCTAATGCTTTATCCATTTCCACGACGCAGAAGTATTGCAAAATATTGATCTCTTCCGGGTAAACGATGAAAACAAACAAACAAAACAAAAATCAAAATAGCTTCAGTGATGATGGTTTTGAAAGTGAAAATGAAGAAAGGAAGAATAATGACAGGAATGACAATTATAATACAAGATGACAATAACGACGACGATGATGATGATGCCAACTGATAATAATGATAACCGATGCTGGTAGTGATGATGGTGACAACTGAAAGCGGTGATGATGACTGATAGTGATGATAAATATTAATAACAACGGGACAACGCAGATGATAATAAGGTGACAACAAGACAACTGGACGACGAGAAACCACGACAACGATACCAACTTCGGGAACCAAAAAAACACCACCACCACCACGAAACAAAAACTAATAAACCACTTTCCAAACCCAACAACACGGAAATCGACTAACGACATTGGCCTTTCCGATGTGTAAAGCCACTGCTACGATTCGATTTCGACTTCCTGTGTATTTTGCTCCACTTCGGCATTCCCCGACGTAGCGCCCCGGGGATGGACGTGGCCTCTAGGAAGGGGGAATAGGGGTGGGGGAGGGGGGAGGGGGAGAGGGAATATGAGGATAGGGGAGGGGGAAAGGGTATACGAGGATGGGGGAGGGGGAGAGGGGATACGAGGTGGGGGAGGGGGAGAGGGGATATGGGGATGGGGGAAGGGGAGAGGGGAATAGGGGTGGGGGAGGGGAAGAGGGGCAATGAGGATGGGGAGGGGGAATGACGGCGGAGATAGGATGAGGATAGGGGATGGGTGATGGGTGGGGGAATGAGGGTGGGAAGATGGCGAATGAGGTACGAGAGATGGGGAATAAGGACGGAGAGGTGGGTAAAGAAGGATGGGGAATCGGCAAATAAAGATGGGGAACCGGGCAATAAGAATGGAGCGATGGTTAGTGAAGCAAACGAGACAGCAAACAGGAATGGGGGGGGGGGGGGGATGAGGAATAAGCAGAGGTGATGGACAATGGGAGTGGGATAACGAATGAAGGTGACGGGAAATGTGAATGGATAGATGGGGGGTGACGATTGAGAGTGGAGGATATGAGGTGGGAGTGCCTTAGAGGGGGGGGGGGGGGCGAATATCAAGAACACTTCTGAATCGACTGCACACAACGCCCGTGATCTTTTGCGACCTTGAAATCCTTTCGGACAATCCACGGATACCCTGATTACCACCTGCCAACGCCCGTGAGAACCACCTGCTCCGGAGATAATTCCTAATGACGACCACGTGAAGGACTAACCCATAACCACCTTCCCCCCCCCCTTTTCTCCCCGTTCTCCCTTCCCCCCCTTTCAGTCCTCCCCGTTCCGCCTTCCCCTTCCTCTGTAACTCTCTCTCTCTCTCTCTCTCTCTCTCTCTCTCTCTCTCTCTCTCTCTCTCTCTCTCTCTCTCTCTCTCTCTCTCTTCCTTGCCCTTTAATTCTTCCCCCTTCCCCTTCCTCTGTAAATCTTGCGACTTCCCCTTCCCCTTTCTCCTTCCTCCCTAACCCTTCCTTCTTTCCCCTCTCACTCCTCCCCATTCCCCATCACCCGATTCCCCTTCCCCTTCCCTCTCCCCCTCCCCCTCCCCCACCAGGATCCCGCCCTTGACCATAATCTCGGAAACTCGCCATTAAAATGCTGATCGGGCCTTGATCCGACAAATACACGCGCAACAAAGAAACACGGACAGTAAGCTCATTATATCATTATATTAGCGGGAAGAAAGGACCGGGGGGGAAGGGGGAGGAGGGGAAGGGGAAGGGGAAGAGGTAGAAAGGGGGGAGGGGGTAGAAGAGGAACGAGGAAGAGCATGAGAAAGAATAACAATGCACAAAATAAGGATGTAGGTAGAGCATTATATAGACAAGAGACAA